ATTAAAATAAGTATAACTATTAATATAGATTATACCTCAATAAAATTGATTTCAAAGAGTAAACCAAGTTGATGTGCAACATACCCGAGCAGTGTCTGATAACAAGTACTTGCCTCATATTGTTCTAAGGAGTCAATGTATTAATATATGAAAAGTGCATTAACTGATACATTGCAAGTATTCAAATAGTAACTATTACAGTTTTTTGTCATTAAACTCAGATAATTCTGGTAACTTTAAAATAGTGGAAGAGTTGGGAAATTGTAATTTGATGGGAGATTGATTTAGTCTTGAATTTGTTCAATTTAGGTTAACGTTAGTAGATATAAGTAACTCATAAATTTTGTTAGGATCTAGGAATTTTAAGTGATCAGTAAATGTGGAATTGGATATTTGAATGAGAGTCTTCCAAAGAAGGCATAGCTGTGGAAAAAAGAATAAATGAGTATAACAAGGAGATTTTGCTGAAAGATGAAAGAGCCAAGGAGATCATTTAGTATACAAAAGAAAGATGGAAACTAATATTGATTTAATGTCTCCTATGTGCCAAGGACTTAACATTATTATTTAAATTTCATAACCACACCATATGATGGATATGTTTGTTGCCATTATAAAGTTTAGGGGATTAAGCTATAGAAAGGCTAGCATACAAGCTCAAAGTTATACAGTCACTAGGTGGTTGAGTGGGGATTCAAACCTGGGACAGGTCTGCCTGATCAGAAGTTCTGACTTGACTTTAACCTGTGTAGTATTCCTTCCACATCCTATTCTTGAAGAGTAGGAGAGTCAGAATTATAATGGAGACTCAGAATAGCACAGGTTAAGATAACCATTGTGAAGATTTGGAAAGAGTCACTGATTAATGACTGTTACAGGGCAATGAAGGGTAATCTTTAAGGAAACAGTTTCTTTCAGTGTCTTAGGTTAAAAAAAAAAATGATAATAATGAAAATGTAGAAAGAGTGGGTGTAGAATCCCTTGATGGAAAACTTTATCTGTGAATGATGAAAGAGAAGTACAGCAAAATAAGGGTATTTTGCTCAAGATCCCAATTCCCTTACTTGGTACAGTGAATATATTGATAGGTCATAAGAGTTCATTTTTAAACCCTGATTTTGCATATTCCAAGAAAAGTAACAATCCTAGCATCTACTTAAACAAGAGGATGTGGTTGCTTTATACCAAAGGATACTCTTACTATAGGAATATATTAGCCCTAATGTGCAGGTGGGCCTTGGCTTGTCTCTTCTTGTTGACATTGCATGCCAAAGGTCCAGCATCTGTCTTCAAAGAGATGCCAGTACATTGCAGCTCTGATTTACTGTATGTAACTCTGATGATTCTAGTAGTTTCTTTAGGTCCATTGATGAGGTTAAATTAAACTTTAGATTTAAACTGGGTTCTGAGCAAGTTGCCCCCATCAACACTCTAACCACCTAGAACATTATTTTGCCACAGTCTTAACAAAATGTTTATGCACCCAGAGCTTGCTAAGTGAGCAAAATGAAACCTCAAAGCAAAGCAAACTCAAATAAAAGCTAGACCCCAGCCCGTCACTTTGCATTCAGCCACTGTAGTCTGTCTGACTTCTGCCCTCTCCTCCCTTGGAAAGTACTTTCAATAAAACCTTGCTTCACTTTCTAACCTATTCTCTTTCAATCCACCCCCTGTGCTAAGCTAAACTAGACCACATCATAAATTGTTTCTTCAGAACTCAAAAATTATTTTTTCAGATTGGCATTTGGCATTTTCTGGGCCACTGCCCACTTAAAGTGTGTAATATGATAACTCGCCCAGCTGCTAGAAAGCAAGGGGCAGTGGAGGAATTAGCTACTGACTCAGGGAATACGAAATGTGATGGTATTAGTCATACAATTCATTCATCAAATATTTGTTGTCAGACACCGTTCTAAATGCAACAGTGAAGAGAACCAACAAAACCTCAGCTTCCATGGAGCTGATAAACAAATAAATATGGCTGAGCAAATAGAAAGTCAGAAAGAGGTGACTTCAAAAAAGAAAAATAACACTGGTTAAGAGGATAGTGGCATGAGAAAGCACTTAGTATGGTCAGCAGAGTTCTTTCCAAGGAAGTGATAATTGCACAGACAACTAAATAATGTAAGAGATGAAGCATCAAGCATTGTGTGAAGATCTTTACGGAGAGGACAGCAAATACAAGTGCTTGCGCAAGTGATGGGGAAGTGTTTACTGTGTTTGAGGAACTACAACAAGAAAGCATGACTGGAAAGTGATGGGAGAGGCGGGGATAATATTTAACCAGGCCAGATTGTGTGAACAGAGTGTTAGAATCCTACTGACAAGATTTCCCCTATATGTGATAGAAAGCCTTGGCAGGAGGCAAGCAGAGGAATGTCATTTGAAACCACTTGCTTTTGCAAACAGACATGGGAGAACATATCCTTGTTCCTAATCTTTTACTGAGACAATCTTCCAACCCTTTAGTCTGAGAACTAATCTCATTTTTTCTAGTTAGAAGGTAAACTAGACATGCCCTATTTTGTTAGATATGAGTACTAAGTATTAACCAGCTTTTGTAATGACAATTGGGCCAATCTGTAAAGCAACCTTATCTAGGAGAGAGAAGAGTGCAGGATGGTAGGCAGTGATGAAGGTGCTAGTAAACAGCCCTAGCACTCACTCTAGGGGCCCAGGATTCAGAGAGATAAATTTTGCAAGTGAAGAGACTAGGCCTCTCATCTGAAAATAGGAGATAGCAAGGAGGTATGGGATTATGTACATCTTGCAGCTATTAATTTAAATTCATTTTGCAGCTAATTTCTATTATAATTAAAATACTTTTGTATGCCCACCTTGGTATAAGACAAAAGGCACATATTTTTTAAAAAGGGACTACCAGATGTTTGTAATAACATTGAAACAAAGCTTGAGTAACCTTGAAAGAAAGCCTGAAATCATTTGGAGTGGTAAGATCAACATCTTTTTATCCCCAATCTAAATTTATCTGTGTGTTCAATTACATTAAAGGAACATGTATTCATTACTCGGACCATAATTTTGAGAAAGTATAGTTGAAGTTGGAAATCAAGAAATATAAAACATAATTATAGAAAAATAATTTTATTATATTTATTTTAATCTATGTAAAGCAAAGATTGTATACTCATCTGTTTAATCACAATATACACAGCACCTAGCAGAGTTCCTGGGGTACAGGAACAACATGAAGTTAATCACGTTGTAAACATTTATTTAGAATTAAACAATGATGAATAATCAAGAGGTAAAAAACAAACATATTTAAGGAGGTATCATGATCACGAGTCTACTGCTTGATTTATGTGTATTCACATTTCCAACACAATTCCAGAATAAGTCAAGTATTTCAAATCATTTGACCAGAACATTTGTATTCCTAGAGGTTTAAGTAGGGAACAGATGACAAGACATAGAGAAAACAAAGAAAGTTTTCCAGTTCCATTAGCCATTACCATCACCAAGACACTTCTCTTTGGGTCTTACCTGTAAAAGGCAATTCTCAGTTCAAAAATGACAATACAAAGGGGAAAAAGAAGAATAGTATAAAAACAAAGAAAGGCCAAATCTATCTTGGTCAGCTCCTCCCTGTTTTTAAATCATCTCATCCCTGGCCCAAATTCAAAGTCACTCCCCTATCTCCATTCAAGACCTTCAGCTCAGACCCTCACTCTTAGTCCATCCTTACTCCCTCTACCACCTTTAAACAGTAATTATTATCTTCCAATTATTGGGGAGCTAGCAGTTGATGGGGTCTGGAAACCACAGAACCAAATCAGAGGAGCATACCAAGGGTGGGATCATTCACTGCTTGAGGCTGACAAGCTCAAGGAACCTAGAGGCTCTTGGGAGGTGGCTGAGGGCCGGATGTGACATAGATTAGTTTTAATAGAGGCTAAATATTGAACACCTTATTCCAAGCACTCAACACTATACTGACAACATCCTCAGGAGGTGGGTACTATTACATTCTCAAGTTAAAGATGGGGGAATGGAGGCTATTAGAAATGTGCCCAAGGGGCCTCTCCCTCCCCCCACCCTCACCAGTAGCACAGAGGGTTGAGCACACAGCGCTGTGAAGCTGTCTGCAGCCTCTGTAGTGTGGGTTCGATTCCTGGCCAGCAAGGGAGATACCCACATGGCCTAGCAGACCTCTCCTGACTTGCCCACTGCTCTCCTCAGCAGTGTCTTCAGTCTATCTGCCTGTTCTGCTCCCCGCTCTGTCTCTGGTGAATCCTCTTACCCTCCCACACCTCTGACTGTACCCCAGTTCCTGTATAAATAAATAAATCTTTTTTAAAAAAAGAAAGAAAGAAATGCACCCAAAGCCATTCCACTTTTAAAGAACAGAGAGAGGCTGAATTCGAACAGAGCTCAAAACACTATTCCCCCCAACCCCTGACTACAGCCCAGGCGGTCCGGTTCCTAGTCCAGGACACAGGCCCTGCCAGAAGAAATGTTACCACCACGCGCTGGACAACCGAGTGAGGGGGCAGTTAGAATCTTAGAGAACCTCAGCCAAGCGCGGGCTTAAAGGGGGGTTCCCCTTAATGAAAGGGAGGCTTTTCTCACCCGACAAGAAATAACGCCCAAACTGGGAGTGCCTCAGTGAAGGCGCTGGGCTGGGCAGATGGACGAGGATCCGAACCAGAGGTTGGGGGAGCAGGTGGCCCCTCCACAGAGATCTGGGGAGGGCTCAGAGAGGGCGGGAGCCACAGCTCCTGAGAATGAGGAGTCCTGGAGATGGGCGGGAAGCCAGTTGGTCAGAGGGCAGAATGGCCAAGAGGGCGGGGCAGTGCCGGGGGTCCCGGACCCCGACTTGGGGCTGGGGGCTGCGCGCCCCGAGGAGGGGCTGGAGGCGGCGGGCTCCGAGCAGGGCCGGGAGGACCCCAGCCCCGAGCCGGCGGCGGGGCGGACGACGAGCCGGGTCAGACTGGAGTGGGTCCGCACAGAGCCCGCGGGGCCAAGGGGCGGGGAGATGGCGGCCCCCGAGGCGGGGAGCGCGGCGGATTTTGAGGTGAGGAGGAGGACAGAGAGGCGGGGAAAGACGCGCAAAGCCGACGTGGGAGGAAAGCTGCGGAAGCCTCTTCCACCCTGGAAGAGGGTGGGGAAGCGGGGAGACAATCAGCACCGCACGGTTCGGGAGAAATACTTGGAGAGGTACCAGGAGCACTGCCGGGAGCGCAGGCTGAAGGTGAAGGCCAAGGGCAGGGCGCAGGGCGAGAGCAAGCTGGAGAAGAAGCCTAATTGGGTGAAGCTCCCGAGACTGGAGGAGACCGAGAAGGAAGACCCCAAAAAAGAGGGGGAGAAAATCCGGCGGCCCACGATCAGATTCAGTATCTTCCCACAAAGTCTCAGCCAGTCGGTGGGTCCGGCTCTCTCCGCCTCGCAGTGGCGCCTCAAGCGCCGCGCCTCCACCGTCAGTGTCATTAACGAGCTGGCGAAGATGGGCGACCCGGATGTGCTGGAAATGGTGCAGGAGCAAGGTAGGCGCAAAAGGACCACTGGCACAGGGACCCCAATAGCAGGGACTCGGGGTCCCCGGGGGGACTTGGGCGGCTTTCAGGCTTGGGTCCCGGGAACGTTCGCAGGTTGGCGTGGTCCGCGGGGGCAGAGGCTGCAGCGCGCACAGGTGCACAGTGTCGGGGTGAGCGGGGTGGGTATTGGTGCCCCTACAATTTCCTCTTTTTCTCCCGCCAGCCCCTGGCCTAGGTCCTGTGACTGCTGTGGTTACCGGATTTCCCTGCTTGCTCCCCCACACGCCGTGGGGCTGTTGAGTAATACCCGGAGGCCATGCAAGCGCTTTGGGCTGGTGGTGTCAGGGCCCTTGAGCCCTGGCCCTGGGGTGAAACGCGCCCTCCCACAGAGAGCCTCAGCTTTAGGGTGCTTGACAGCGGTCTGTGTGTGAGCATCTGCCCTGGATACCTTTAGCCTCTGTATTTGCATATTACTGCTAGTGGTTTGAGGTGCTTGTTAATTATGGAGGAAAATACTAAGCTGGGTCAGTTTGTAATCCTCATGCCCTTGGGCTGTATTACCAGCTTTGACTCTTAGTTCCCTTGAAAAGTATTTGCTCATCGTTCGCTAAGAATTTTGGATTAAATACTGTAGATCTTTCAGTGTACCCATTTTCCTAAAAATGTGCATATTTTTCGTGGTATTGTTGGTATTTTAAGAAATAGCAATGACTCCAAGTTCCCTCTATCTTCATGTTTTGGCAGTAGATCTAAACAGGGGAACTTCTTTTGAGTAATAAAATGTCTAAGCAGTTTTACTCTATAGTCTTTAAAGGCACCACCCCCTTAAAATAAAATATGTACTTCCTTTTCTGAACAGCTTTATTGACTTGCGTACCATTAAAGGTACTCATTTAAAATATACAATTCATGTTTTTTGAGTATACTTAGAATTTTGCAATCATCAGCATGATCTAATTTTAGAATATTTTTAGGACCTGCAAATAGAAAATCCTTAGCAGTCACTATCCACCAGGGCTAACCTTCTCCCAACTCCAGGCAGCCACTAATGGATTTACTGTCTCTATTATTCTGTACATTTCATGTAAGCAGACTCATACAAAATGTGGTCTTTTGTAATTGGCTTTTTTCTCTTGAAATGTTTTTGAAGTTCATTCATGTCAGAACTTATATCAGTGGATCATTCCTTTTTGTTGCCAATAATACTCCATTGTATTGCTATACCACACTTTATCCATCCATCAACTGATAGACATTTGGGGTTTTTTACACTTTTTTTTTGTTACAAATGCTATGAACATTCATGTACAGTTTTTGTGTGAACATGTTTTCCTTTTTCTTGGATATTTACCTAGAAGAGTGGCATTGCTTGTGTAGCTCTATAATGAACATTTTGAGAAACTGCTAAACTGTTTTCCAAGTGTCTGCACCATTTTATATTTCTACCAGTAATGTGTAAGGGTTCCAATTTCCACCTCCTCACTGTCATTTGTTATTGTCTCTTTGGTTTCTAGTCACTCTGGTGATTGTCAATGGTATCTCAATGTGGTTTTGATTTGCATTTTTCCCAGTAACTTTTGTGTTAATATATTTTCCTCTCTCTATTAAACAATCATATCTCTTCTTTGGAAAAATGTCTATTCCTTTATACACACCTGTTTAAGTATGAGTTACAATAAAAAATAAATTAAAAAATATAAAATGTATAGATACATACATATATACATACGTATATAGGAAATGTCTATTAAAATTATTTGCTCATTCAAAAAAGGAGTCATTTACCTTTTTTTTATTATTGCATTGTAAGATTTCTTTACAGTTGATGTATATATGATTTGCACATGTTTTCTCCCATTCTGTGGATTGTCTTTCATGTTGATGGTGTCAATTGAAGCACCTCCATTTTTTCAAATCAAACAATAATTTAAGGATAGAGGGAAACAAAACTATTGAAGACTTTAATCTTTGACTAATGACTGCTAATTATCAATAAATTTATTAGGGAAAATGATTGGTAGTCAGTGGCACAAAAGGAGTCAGATGACTTGCAGATGTGCAAAATTATAAATCCCTTTCTATATTTCTTTGATGACTTCTTCCTTTGTGGAGAATTGCTATCTTTGTAATTTCAATAAACTGATGGCCTCATTTTTTTTTTCAGTTAAAACTTTCATTCATTCCTTATTATCAGTCCTTCTGAAGTAAAGCTATGAGAGTTACAGAAATTCTTCATTAAAGAAAGAGTGGAGGAAAAAAATGTGGAGTATATAACTTTCTGTGTACAAGGAAGAAAACAGTTCTCAATATATCATTACAGAGGTTGACCATAACTCTCTTTCACATATTACAGTGTGATCTAATTTAGATGCAGGATAATCTTACTATATTTAAGTTAGTATTACTTCAGCATGAGGTCATACTTTAGCTTGAGTCCATCTCAGAAAGGTTTAGAACTTTTCCCAAAATGATTGCACTTTTCCTTTTCTTGGCAAAGGTGTTTGTAATTTATTTATATTCCCACTTGTGAGCAAAGCTTTTCCTCTAATTTGAACAGTAGGAGAAAAGGGTGTTGACGTGGAATATATATTTGATGACTGGATCTGTCCAAATTCCTGCTTCCTGCTTTGTAATAGATTCAGAATCCAAGCAGCAAAAAAAGTGTAGAATTAGTGAAAGCAGGGCCTAAGGAACAGACCCTTAGGTGACTTATTTTTCAAAATGTTTCTTAATAAATCACTTATTTTGCTGGGTTGGTTTTACTGCCCGTCTTGAGACCTGTTTTATTGAGTTGTATGAAAAGTGCATTGCAATGAGGATGTATTTTTTAACAGCAACAATCAATGGATTTTTGGAAGCCCAGTTATAAATATGTTTCTTCTTGCAGTTTAATTATACAGTTTTGAAAACAAAAATATTGGTTGAAGAAGCTTGAAAATACTGAGTTCCGCGGCACCAATTTTTACAAGCCCACTTTCATTTCTGTATTTTTAAGTACAAATGGATTTCTTAGAGTAAATTTACCAATGCAATAACTCTGGATCTTTTTTTTAATTATATATTTTCTGTATTGCATTTGAAGAGTAAATACAAGCAAGTTAAATATTAGATTTACATGTGATAAATCCGCCCCCCAGGAAATGTTAACATTTTGCATCTAGACCCCTTTGTTAATAAGACATTTCTAAGATTTTTTAATGTTTATTTACTGACAATTGAATACATAAGCAACTAGTGATAACACAATTATTTTCCCACTATCTCAATAAATTTTTAAAATGGAATTCTAAGGGTAATGTGTAATAGAATACTTAAATATTTAAGTAAATAATGCCAGTAAAATAATGCCAGTAAAACATCAGCTGTTGCTGAAATGGAACAATTGATTGATTGACATTATAAGGAAGCTCTCTGATTTGAAATTTTAGTTTTCTTGATGTGATTAATGACACATTCAGTATTGGAAAAGACACTTTTAGGGTTTAGTATTGAAAAGGCAGCTTTTAAGTTGTTTACATCTTTACGACTTTGAAATTAACCAAACCACTTATCATTTAGTAATGTGAATATTTGATTGCATATCTTTTATTTAATGCTGCTGGATGGAGTGTAAACTGAGAAGACCATCTGGTAAATATGAGGGCTATTTTTGTGCTGTGGGTTTGCTGGGGTATATATTCTTAGTAATGTGCTTTCAGTGAGAACTCAAAGGTCAGTCTTGGGAATGATTTTACTTTGTTCTTATAGCTTATGATTCTCCATAGTTATTGGTATTAAACCCTTCATATCTCTGATATCTAGCCATAGAAAAAGTATAGTCATTTCTACCGATTTTTAGAGAAAGTTGGAGGGATAACAGGAAGTTGGTTTCGACTGGTTAACTTCAAATCCTGTATCTTCAGATAGGCCTCTGTTTTGACAGAGGTTTGGTGATTATGCTTCTGTGAGTGAATGTGAAAGTGTTTAGGTCTACGTAGGTGTGAACACAAGTGTGTATGTGAGAGAGACAGCTAGTAAGCATTAAGTGAGAGAGGGAGCATAATCTATGAGGAAGTACGTCTGCTTTTCAGAAAACAATACTGTTTACAAAGTGGTGAGTGAAGCTTGCAGTCTCCTCTGAGGAGGTATTTGGACTAGGTACCCAGAGAGGACTGTATTCAGGGTGAAATGGAGGTAGCTATGAGTTCGTCTGGAGGGCAGGTGAGGTGGTTTCAGGTGACACCTGAAATTAGGACATCATAACTGATAGAATGTGAAAAATAAGCAAGAGTTAAATGAGGAAGAAAACAGCTTAGCTTAGGAAAAAGAAGCAAGTCTAAAGATGACTTCCCCTCTCTCCTGTTTGTCTCCTTTGTAGTATTTTATCGTAGTTTTTGATCTCTCTCCTTTACAGTATTGTAAATTTCCTAACAACAGAGGATCAACAAGTGTCATCACCCATCCTTGTTATTAGTATTATATTGATAATCGTTGTCAAGAATCACACAGTTCTGAGATGTTCTGTGTGTCGTCATTAGACAGTAGCATGTCACAGTGTCATGGATAAGTGTAGAAGATGTGATACACCTGGGACAGAGACAAAGGACAGTTTAGTGCTCACAGCATTAGCACTACGAGCTAGAAAGAAAAGAGATGATTATTTGGAGAAACTATCTCGTTCCTGTTCTACATTCTCAAGTGTATGAAGTTATGATAGCAGTTGGAAATGTGTTTTCAGCCAGTGGGGTTGAACAAAAATAATTTGAAAAGGAGTCACTAGGGCTTTCAGTTTTTCAACTTTCTAAAAAATAGAATTGCAAAGCACTCTAACCCTAGCTTAGGGCTTTGTACTTGTTGATCTGTGCCTAGAACTATATTTAGTTCTTCAGCATAATTGTTGACTGTTTTTGTCTTCAAGAAAATAAAAGCCTTTTCTAAGTCAGTGTTCGAGAACTACATAGTGATAGACCAAGCATGTATTTCTTAGAATCCTCTTATTTATCTACCCATTGTAAGAAGGTGTTACTTTGGTCTCCTTTTCATTCAAAAATCTGATGAGAGAGGGTCAAGACATTGTAGAGTTTTGAACTGCACATCTAGATATTGTTCACGGAGAGGACTCTGAGACGATGGTGCTATATGCTGTTTTACATTTTTCAAATAAAAACACATGAAGAAAGGTAAAGTAGCATAGCTACAGCTACACTTTTCATGCATTGCTTATTATAGCTATTAACTTTTTTTTTTTTAAAGATTTATTTATTTATTCGTACAAGCACTGGGTACAGTCAGAAGCGCGGGAGGGTGAGAGAATTCACCAGAGCCAGAGCAGAGAGTAGAACAAGCAGAGTGAGGAAGTACACTGCTGAGCAGAGGGTGGCAGGAGAGGTCTGCGCACCATGTGGGATCCTCACCCAGAGACGGGGATTGAACCGGCGCTGCAGAGGCTGCGGGCAGCTTCGCAACCCAGCACTCAACCGCTGCGCCACTGGGGAGGCCCAGCTATTAACTTTTTAATAGCAGGGCCTGCAAAAAAAAAATTGACACTCTACATCTGAGTGCTGACACTCTACAACTTATCCTAAAGAATTTAAGTTTTGAAAATTAATATACTATCTCTTAACAATAACAATGTCAACAAGAGTAACTATTGACAACATTAATTGACTTCCTATGTGCCCATGAGTGAGGTACTTTCACATGTGTTATCTTATTTAATGCACAAACTTTATGAGATCATAATGTCTTTTATATGATATTAGATAGCTTCGAATTTACTTTGTATTCTTAAATAGCTAGGAATGGTAGGGAATGTAGGTGTTGTGTGTGTATGTTGTGTGTGTGGTTTTGTTGCTGCATCTTATAATTAGGGTTTTTGTTTTTTTTTTAATACATGAAGAAGGAAGGATATTCAAGGGCAACTGGTGGACTCTGCTATATTACTTACCCACCATTAATAATCACAATTTCATGAAGTGGAATCTTCTCCAGTTGCTCCCTAAATGTGCACAACAGCAATGCCTCAAATTTTACATAAATATCTGTGATTGTTTTACATGTTTTCTCAAGCACTGCTCAGCCCAACCCACCGTCATCTCTGTGCTTCATTACAGCAGCCTCATAATTTGTCTCTTTCCTCCATTCTTACATTCTTTTTAATCCATTTGCTATTCAGCAACTAGAGCTATTCATAAAATGTAAATACTATTTTAAAGACTTTCTTATGGCTTACTATTTCATGTAGAAAAGCAATCCTGACATTCAAGGTTCTTCACGAACTGTCTCACTCCATACCACTCCAACGTCTTATCCACTCTACTATTTACATATTCATCTTAGCTTGACATTAATTTCTTTGAACCCCTCAAGCAATTTCTGTCTTACAGTCTGTGTCTTCTAATACGGTCTGCATCCTCTCAAGTTTCAGATCTCAGCACAAACATTACTTCGCAATTTCTGTCTTACAGTCTGTGTCTTCTAATACAGTCTGCATCCTTTCAAGTTTCAGATCTCAGCACAAACATTACTTCCTCGTAGAGATTTAACTATTCTCTCTGTCTCTCATTTGTCTCTTTTATAACATTTATCAAAATTTTAATCTGTCTCCTTTATCATATTATAAATTTCCTAACAATATAAGATCAGCAAATACTACCCATTATCACCATCATCGGCGCTATTACTATACTGATGATAAATAACAAGAATTGTGAAATGGGCCTCCCCAGTGACTCAGAGGGTTGAGCACCGCACTGTGAGTCTGTCCACTCTGCAGTGAGGATTTGATTCCTGGCCGGCCAGGGATATTCCCACATGGTGCGGCAGACCTCTCCTGTCACACCCTCTGCTCCCCTCAGCAGTGCTTTTGGTCTGTCTCTCTGCCTGTTCTGCTCCCCACTCTGTCTCTGGTGAATCCTCTCATCCTCCAGCACCTCTGACCTGTACCCCGGCTATTGTACAAATAAAAAATAAATATTAAAAAAAAAGAAATGTGAAAGATCTGAGATTTCACTGTGTGTGGAAGTTAGCAGAGTAGTCTGACACAGTATCATGGATAATGGTAGAAGACAAAGGAAACCTGGTTCAGAGACACAGGATAGTTTATTTCTCCTAGCATTAGCAATAGCCAAAATAGCAGCATTTTGTACCAGTTTTCTTAACCCAAGTTCTCACAGATCAATGCAAAGAAGGCCAGACAATATCTGCACATTCAATGGGTTGTAATACAGAAAGCAATATAGCTTAGGGAACTTGAGTCTTATGTAGTGGTCAGTAATATGCCTGGAGGGGGACACTACTCTAATCTTCCAAGACTATAAACACACCTGCCCTTTGCTCCAGAAGACACCATATCTGCCAAGGCTATTCACTCAACCAAAATCCTTGTAAAAATAATCCAGAACATGATAGTCAATGTCTCACTTGACTCAAGGAGATTGTTTCTCAACAATATCCTTAACAGTATCCTTATTCCGTTAGTTTTGGACATTTAACTTTTTTTTTTTTTTTTAAAGATTTATTTATTTATTTATTTATTTATTTATTTATTTATTTATTTATTTATTTATTTATACAAGCACTGGGTACAGTCAGAAGTGCGGGAGGGTGAGAGAATTCACCAGAGTCAGAGTGGGGAGCAGAGCAGGCGGATAGGTGGAGGACACTGCTGAGGGGAGCAGTGGGTGCGGCAGGAGAGGTCTGCGTGCCATGCGGGACCCTCCTCCGGTGGCCGGGGAGCAGCCGGGGATCGAACCGGCGCTGCAGAGGCTGTGAGCAGCTTCACAACCCAGCGCTCAACCGCTGCGCCACCGGGGAGGCCCAAACTTTTTATAATTGAAATATTATAGTTTCTGCCTTTTTTTGTGCTTAACAGTGTTCTTTGGAGATAGCAAAACCTATCATAAAATTCATATGAACTACTTAGGAACCTTGAATGGCAATGAATCTTAAAAAATAACATAGCTGAAAGACTTACACTTTCCAATTTAAATTTGCTTCAAAGATACAGTAATCAACTAGTATAGCACTGGCATTAAGACAGACACAAAGGCAGGCAGAAAAGAATAGGAGGCTAGAAATAAGTCCTCATGTATGTGGTCAGGTGATTTTTATAAAAGTGCCAAAACCACTCATTGGGGTTAAGATAGTCTTTTCAACAAGTGGTGTGGGGAAATTAAATAGCCACGTGCAAAAGAATTAAGCTGCACAGTTGACAAAAATTAACTCAAAATGATTCATAGACCTAAATGTAGGACCTAAAACTGCAAACATGTTAGAAGAAAGCATAAGGAAAAATTTTTACAACATTGTATTTAGCAATGGTTTCTGGATGGGCTGTGACACCCAAAGCACAAGCAAGAAAAGAAAAAAATAGGTAAATTGTCCTCATGAATATTTAAAAAATTTGTATATCAAAAGATAGTATAGCAAGTAAAAAGGAACACAGGGGAACAAATACCTGCAAATCATGTGTCTATTCCAGAATATATAGAGAAATACTAAAATTTAACAATAAAAACCAATAAGCTGACTCATAAGTGGAAAAAAACTGAAATAGTTTAATCAACAGATATGCAAATGGCTAATAAGAATGTGAAAAAATACTCAATATCATTAGGGAAATTCAAACCAAGACTATAATAAGATACCACCACCTCACACTCACTAGGATTGCTACTCGCAAAAATAAATAAACAGATAAGTAACTTGATTTGGTGAGGATGTGGAGTAATTGGAACCCTTGTTCACTATTGGAGGGAATGTAAAATGGGATAGCCACTGTGTAAAAATTATAGTGGTTAGTCAAACAATTAAAAACAGAATTACCATCTGATCCAGCAGTTACATTTATGGGTATACACCGAAAATATTTGATAGGGACATCCTGGAGAGATATTTGTACACCTATGTTGAAAGCAGTGTTATTCGCAATACCTAAAATGTGGGAGCAACACAAGTGTCTATCAATGAATGATGGATAAATAGAATGTGGCTATACACCTACAAATGTGATGTGTACATAAAATAGTAAAAATCACAGAGACGCAAAGTAGAATGGTGGTTGCCCAAAGCTGGCAGAGGGGAGAAAGAGGAGTTATTGTTAATGAGTATAGTGTTTGAGTTTTACAAGATGAAATGTGTTCCAAGGATGGATGGTATTGATGGTTGAGTAACATTATGTATGTATTTAATATATTTGAATTCCACAGTTAAAAATGGGTAAGATGGTAAATTTTATATGTATTCTATCATACAAAAAAATATAAATGGTAGGTTTATATTTTCTGTATTTTCAGAAGATATGATAACTCTTTCTGAAATTATAGTGAATGTGGATTACCCTTATGTGATAGCAGTATTTTATTATAGTCCCATTGTGATTTTCTACAAAAAAAAAAAAAAAAGAAAGTTCTGTATGGGAAGTTTTTGACTTAAGTATCTCTCAGTATTTCCTAAGTTGCAGTCTCTAGAAAATAAGAATATGAATTCTGTATTTTACATTTTTTGGTGTCAAATTTATTTGAAGATGTATTATTATGTAGAGTCAGTCCAAATGACTTTACATATAATAACTACCATGAAGACATGTGTTTACTGTTTATACTGGTAATGTCCTGCTGTGCTTCACTTGAAATCAGTTTGGCTCAATTAAGGAAAATACTCCGACACAGTATTAAATCTCACATAGAGAGAACTAAAAGACAGCTGTGGCATCCATATTGTACTGTAATTTTTTCTGTTTGATTTTGAATTTCTAGTTTCTCTGTGGGCTTTTAACATTTGTGATTATTTAGTCATTTTAACATGTCTTTTTTCTTTAAATTAGATAAAATCGTCAGAGACACAGACTTTAGTACTCAAATGAGTGAGGTAAGTTAAATATGCATTAACTTTCTCTGAATCCAAACAAAAAATTAAGACAAGTTTAAAAATGTACTTCATATGTAGTGTTAGGTCTTGGCACTTCAGTTACTTACATACTATAGTCTCTCCTACTTTGTTCTTTGTTCTAGAAGTTATTCATTTTTTAGTAACTCAAGCAAATTCATTTTATGTAGACTTATGATCTGATCTTTCTAGATGTTATAAGGGAGCAAATGTAATTTGGGTTGTTTTGGGGCTCGCTGTGAAAGTAACTCAAACATGCTGAGCTATATAAGAAATGCTCAGCTATGCAAGATCATGCTGAGCTATATAAGAAATGCTCAGCTATGCAAGATAATCTTATTTGGTTTTACGTTTTGCTAGAATATAAAGCAGGTATAATATGTGACAGCTTTATATATTACAGTTATTAGTAGGCAATTTGTGCTTATTGATGACTATGTTGGGATTCAAGTGACTGAATCCAAATTAGGTAAACATATTAAATTAAAGGACCATAAACTTAAATACAACTTGTTAAAAAAACAATTTTATTAGTCAAAAGCATTCTATTAGTTATATAAACTTGCAAAAATACTAATAATTCAGATTTCTTATGTCAGACTAAAAATCTTGTAGTAGAAGTTCAGATAAAATAATCTTCTGCCAGTGGACCCAGAGTGTACCACCAGATAAAAAAATGTTCCTTTAAAAATAGCTTTTTAGGAATGACCGAAATTCCCACCACTGAAATGTCCTACCAAAAAGTGTAGAAAATTTATTGTGTGTATTAATCAGATGGATCAACTGTATGGATAAGCTGTTTAATGTTTTCAGAAGTTCTAGGATTCTTTTAAAAGTTCCTTTCTAATGTTCATTTTAAGGTTGAGTCCCTTGATTTTTTACCGTGTAATTTATAGACCACCTGAATTAGAATTATGTAAAGAATTTCCTAAAAATCCAAACTCTTGGACCCACATTCATGTATAGTTCAGTACTGTAGGGGATAAAGCTAAATAAACCTGATTTTTAAAATGTATCCTAGCTATTTCTTACTGATAGTAAAGTTTGAAAATCAGTGTTGTATAACAAAGTCTATACAACAAAATTGATGTAATGTGGCATTGAGAACGTATTTATTAAGTTAATCAAAATAGTTAAAAAGTTAAGAACATGAGAATCAAAGTTTGTTGACTTATTTGGAGAGGACTGAGTAGATTTATCTGAGTTGACTGATCCTATTTAATTCATAACAAATATATAGCCATTTTCATTTTGTTCACAATGACATACTTCTCACAGAACTTTTAAGTAATGCCACATTAACTTCAGTGATAGTCCATATCCCTTGTTTCTGTGTGTATATTTCATATTTTATATAGTCTGTGTTTATAATTCTGTAACAGAGAAACAACCTCATAAAGTTAAGTTTATACTGTTCTTTATTCCTTTGCACATTTCAGAACACTGAATATTGCTTCCTTGCTTTTTTTTTTTAAAGATTTATTTATTTATTTATTTATTTATTTATTAATACAAGCACTGGGTACAGTCAGAAACACAGAAGGGTGAGAGAATTCACCAGAGCCAAAGTGGGGAACAGAACAGGCAGACTGACGAAATACACTGCTGAGGGGAGCAGCGGGTGTGGCAGGAGAGGTATCCGTGTCATGTGGGACCCTCTCCAGGGACCGAGGATCAAACTGGCGCTGCAGAGGCTGCAGGCAACTTCAAAGCCCAGCACTCAACCATTGTGCCCTGTTTCCTTGCTTTCAACCTCAGGTCTTCATTGGAAACATTTGGTTCAGATTTTTAAGGTTTTAGATTTGGCATGCCAAGCAGAAATATATTTAATTGAATTTAAAATGCATCATTTTAGAAATAACATTTGTCATAATTTTAATAGGTTTTTTTAAAGTTTTACTTTTATAGGAAAACAAGTGACAAGGGAACTGATTCAGTTCTAGGAGATTAGTACCATACCATTGTCCTTTTAGGCTCAACCTAGAGTTATGTCTAATATATCATTTTTTAAAATAAAATACTTTGAGGTAAAAACAGCACTCTCTGAAATAAAGATGAAGAATGGCTAATAAAGCTTAGAATTGTTAGATGACTGTATTATTGAATTAATGCATTCTAGAGTGACTAACATTTGTTTCTAGAAAGATGGAGTGGACAAAATCTTCCCTACTACTTTTGCTAAGTAAAAGGACATTGCATATTAAAAAATTCTGGACATTATATATATATATAACAAACATAACTGAAAATTAGAGCAAATAAGTCAAACTAACTAGTGACCTGTGAATCCAAATGAATTTATTTATTTATTTATTTAAGATTTATTTATTTATTTATACAACACTGATTGATTCATTGATTGATTTATACAAGCACTGGGTACAGTCAGAAGCGCGGGAGGGTGAGAGAATCCAGCAGAGCCAGAGCAGGGAGCAGAGCAGGCAGAAGGACCGAAGTACACTGCTGAGGGGAGCAGCGGGCGGCAGGAGAGGTCTGCGCGCCATGTGGGACCCTCCTCCGGTGGCCGGGGAGCAGCTGGGGATCGAACCGGTGCCGCAGAGGCTGCGGGCAGCTGCGCAACCCAGCGCTCAACTGCTGCGCCACCGGGGAGGCCCGAATCCAAATGAATTTAGTTCCCTGGACTTTTCTCTTCCTGCATGTATTGCAAACTGGATACTAAGAAGCCAGCAATAAAGAAATGCTACCAGACACAGACAAATAAAACATTTAAGAAAAACTTACACTCTCCAGCCAATAGACTAGGAAAAGGTGACCAAGGCCTACAGAAAAATTTTAGTAACATTTTGTAACCAAGCACCATAGGAAAAAATAAATATGGTAGACTGTTTTCAGATGACAGAGTAGGAGAATTCTGAACTCACTTTGTCGCATGAGCACAACAAATCTATACCTGCATTTGGAATAATTTTTAGTTGTTGTAAGTCATGTGCACCCCACTTGCACTGTTATTAACAATACTATGTCTTCCTTTCGGTGCAACTGGCAGAGCTTAAGCAGCCGGGAGACCAGCTTTCTTATCTCCGAAGAACATTTGGTAAGTACCCACCGGCACTGCACTTGTATGGATACAAATGGAGTATCTTTTTGTTTTTGTTTTTTTTTTTTAAGATTTATTTATTTTTATACAAGAACCGGGGTACAGGCCAGATGCGCCGGAGGGTGAGAGGATTCACCAGAGACAGAGCGGGGAACAGAACAGGCAGACTGACTGAAATACACTGCTGAGGGGAGCAGCGGGCGAGGCAGGAGAGGTCTATTTCACCATGTGGGATTCTCGCTGTCTGGGATTGAAGCCACACAGCACAGGCTGTGGACAGTTTCACAGTGCGGCGCTAAACGGCCCGCGCCACCAGGGAGGCCCTGGAGCATCTTTTTCTTGTCAGTGATTGTGATGCTTGCTTTCATTTCCTAGTTAATCTCCAGGTCCTCATACATGATGTCAGAGTGTATTCTAAAAGAAAGCACCTTCTTATGGGAAAAAAACAACATCAGACATTCAGTGAGAATGACACATAAAACAACACTTTACTTGATATGAATTTCTGTTTTACAAATGAGAAAATGAAGAATCTGAGTGATATAATGACTTCACCAAAATTTTCATGTTTAAGAAACAGATACTGAACTAGAACTCAAGTTTCTGATGCTTTGTTCAGTATTCTGTTTCCATACATCATTCTTCTTACCTGTCTGTACATGCCTAGGACTAATCATGAAGAAGTACAAACTATTTAAAAATGAAATTTGAATTTCAATTAAAGAGTAGGTAAAGGGATTTAAAATTTTTCATTATTTGCTTAGTAAATAAAAAAATGCTGTTAGGGAATATGAAAAAAGAGCTCTGTTCTTTGATGATTTTAATGTTGATGGTGTTTTGCATTTCACTAGTGTACTGATTTTTAGTGTTCTGTAATGAACATTATGAGATTATGAGCTTATAAATTGTGTTTTTTCTTATTTATCTCATTCTATTTTTTTATCATAAACATTTACATGATTCCAGCCTTGAAAACCATAGCAACAAATGAGGTTTAATGGGATGTAAAGCTTATGCTATCTCAGTGTCATTCTTTAAGAAGAATAATGGAACAATAAGCTACTTTAAAATCTTACAAAGGAGGGCGGAGCAACATGGCGGCGAGGAGACACTGCAAGTAAGATCTCCCATTAAAAAAAGTTAATAGGGAGGAAAAGCGGCAGGTCCCAGAGAGAACTGGGACACCGAAGATAAACGGGTGACTCCAGCAAACTACCCGAAGAAGAAAGTGGCCATAAAAGAGGACCAGAAGGGAGGGAAGCGCAGAACCCTGCTCCCCTCCCCCGCCCACAGAGGCGGCACTCTCCGACCGGCAGAGAGGAGGGAAACAACAAACTAAAACGGCCAACAAGAACAAACGACGCAGCAAGCGGGACTGTGAGTGGAAAGGAACTATTGCAGCCACCACACCCCGTGAACGGGAGCTGAGGCGAACCCTGCAGGATCCGCCGCGGCGGCGGTGAGCGAACGGCTCCGGGCGCCATTAGAGAAGAACAAAGACCCCGGGAGACGCGCACACAGCCCGGGCTGCCAGTAAGCTTGCGCGGGAAAGCAGCGCGCTTGGCACGCTTGAAAAGAAAACGCGGACCGGGATCGCAGCGGCCCAGGTCCCCGCGCCTGCGACCTAGGCTTGCGGGGAGACACGCGGAGGTCCTCACTGAGGTGAAGGTCCCTCCCTGAGTAAGCAGGAACCAGGCGCCCAGGCACGGGAGCGGGGTGCAAAAGGCGCCATTCCCGCGCCACTGAACTGGGCTACAGCCCGCGTCCTGGAACTGAGGGCTTTGAACTGAGACCTGGGGCATGAAATTAGGGGCGTGGGTTCTCCACGACGGTGGGGCACAAGGCAGACACAGCACCCCAAAGCTGTTGAGGCTTACCCTACCATTCCCGCTCTGTTCCCTGTCCCACGGGGTGGGGGGGGCGAAAAACAGCCCCCCAAGGACAATAGGAGAGATCTCTGGCGCCACCTAGCGACCAGGAAAAAAAAGTCACTAACACCCCATAGAACAGGAAATTTCTTAAGACTGCTTGAAAAGGGCAGAAGGCTTCTGGAGGACCCAGTGGCCAGCCGGGAAGTTAGCCCACCCCACGCCAGGCCCCTTCCTACCAGCAGTCTGAGCCCACAGAGGGAGCAGGCACCCACGTCCGGGGCAGACCGGGGGCACAGAAGAGTGTGCCTGAAACCGGAGGCGCAGGGACTGCATCCCGCTTCGCCATTTTAGAACAGGGACATTTCTTCAGTAAAAACTGCCAAAAACCAGCAGAAAGCTCCCCCAGAAGACAGAGATGAATCCTGGAAGAGCCAGAGGGGAGCGGAGAAGTTCACCCAAGATGCCAGTCAGTCCGAGCAACACAGTGTCCCAACGCATACGCCAAATTAGAAAACAGACAGTAGGGAGTAGAAGAACCACACGCAACCTAACAACTCCTCAGGAAAGAAGCACACCACAAAAAGAAAACCACTCCCCAGATTGCAACGACAGCAACTTGGAAGAACTTCTGAGCCTTCCAGAAAGAGAATTTAAAATTGCCATGATTAAAAAAGTGATAGATCAGAAGAAGGAAATAGAGTCCCTAAAGAGGGAAGTAAAAGAAATGCAGGAGATCAAAGAATTAATGGAGGAACTAAAGAACTCTGGGAAAAGCAATGAAAGTAGAATAGATGAAATGGAAGAACGAATAAGTACTCTTGAAGACACAGAAATAAAAAGAACCAAAACAGAAAAGGAAAGAGAAGTACGAAGGAAAAAGAATGAAGAAAGACTTCGGGAACTATCTGACTCCATGAGGAAAGGAAATATAAGAGTTATAGGAATTCCAGAAGGAGAGGAGAGAGATGTAGGAACAGAGAAAATATTCCAGGAGATAATTGAAGAGAACTTCCCAAATGCGAAGAAGGAGCTGAAAATTGATATACAAGAAGCAAGAAGAACACCAAACTTCCACGACGAAAGGAAAAACACAGCAAGACACATAATAGTAAAGCTCCCAAGAATCCAGGACAAGGAAAAAATAATGAAGCTGACAAGAGGGAAGACACAGATAACATTCAAAGGAAAACCAATCAGGCTGACATCAGACTTCTCTGAAGAAACACTACGGGCAAGGAGAGAGTGGAGGGACATAGTCAACAGACTTCAAGAAAACAGATGCCAACCAAGAATACTCTATCCCGCAAAGCTCTCTTTCCTCCATGAAGAAAGAATATGGACCTTCCCAGACAAAGAGAAACTCCGGAATTTCATTACGACTAAACCCCCACTCCAAAAAATACTACAAGGAATCCTAAAGCCAGAACCTCAGAGGGACGAATAACAACGAAAGAAGACCAGAAGAAAAAAAAGTTATTAAAAGAATAAATAAATAAAATCAAAAGAAAGACAAACATAATGGCAAGTACAGATGCTAACATAACAATATTAACTCTAAATGTAAATGGACTAAACTCTTCAATAAAAAGACACAGAGTTGCAGCCTGGATTAAGAAACAAAACCCAACCTTTTGCTGTCTCCAGGAAACACATTTAGCTACAAAAGATAAAAATAGGCTCAAAGTCAAAGGATGGAAAACAATCCTACAAGCAAATGGGCCAAAAAAGAAAGCAGGAACAGCTATACTTATATCAGATAAAACAGACTTCAAACTCAAAAAAATAAAAAGAGACCCCAATGGTCACTACATTATGATTAAGGGGACAATACTTCAAGAAGAAATAACACTCATTAACATATACTCACCAAACGAAAGAGCACCAAAATATATCAGACAACTGTTGTCCACTCTGAAAACAGACATCAGAGAAAACACATACGTAGTGGGAGACTTCAACACACCACTATCAACAATGGATAGATCAACAAGACAAAAAATAAGTAAAGAAACTAAAGCTCTAAATAAGGACCTAGAGCATTTGGGCTTAACAGACATCTATAGAACACTAAACCCCAAAAAAACGGAGTACACATTTTTCTCAAGCGCACACGGATCATTCTCCAGGATTGATCACATACTGGGGCACAAGACAAACATCAACAGATATACCAAGATTGAAATCATACCAACCATCTTTTCTGACCATGAAGGCATCAAACTAGAAATAAATCATAAAAAGAAGGCAAGGAACTATCCTACCTCATGGAGATTATAAACCACACTACTGGAAGACCACTGGACTAACGAGGAGATCAAAGAAGAAATTAAAAAATTCTTTGAATTGAATGACAAGGAGGACACCAATATCCTAAATGTATGGGATGCAGCAAAAGCAGTAATAAGAGGAAAATATATAGCAATAGAAGCTCACATCAAAAAACAAGAAAGAACTCAAAGAAACAACCTAACCTCGAAGCTCAAAGATCTAGAGAAAGAACAACAAAAAAACCCCCAAACCAGTAGAAGAAAAGAAATAATAAAAACCAAAGCAGAAATAAATGAAATTGAAACTAAAAAAACAATCCAAAAGATCAATGAAACCAAGAGCTGGTTCTTTGAAAAAATAAATAAAATAGACAAACCCCTAGCCAGGCTCACAAAGGAAAAAAGGGAGAAAGCACAAATACACAGGATCATAAATGAAAGAGGAGAAATCACAACGGACACAGCAGAAATCAAAAGAATAATCAGTAACTACTATGAACAGTTATATGGAAACAAGTTCAACAATCTAGAGGAGATGGACAAATTCCTACAACTCTACAATCACCCAAAGCTAGATAAAGAAGAAATAGAACACCTAAACAGACCAATTACAATTAGTGAAATTGAAATGGTAATCAAAAACCTCCCCAAAAACAAAAGCCCAAGACCTGATGGATTTACAAATGAATTCTACCAAACATTCAGAGACGAATTAGTGCCTATCCTTCACAAACTCTTCCAAAAAATTGAGAAGGAAGGGACAATACCAAACACGTTCTATGAAGCCAATATTATACTAATACCAAAACTGAATAAGGACAACACAAAAAAGGAAAACTATAGGCCAATCTCCCTAATG